TTAATAACCACCCATCTGCCTGTATAATTGCAGTAGAGATGAGGACTATACGGTACCCTAGGCTTGGCTAGGGAGATTACGTTCTGAACTTCTGTGCCTTCTTCATGTGGCTCCCATCTACCACATAGGGTTTTCACATTTCTGTGACCACTAAACTCATTATTATCACACATTTTCTACTTAGAGGAAGGTCGTTACTTTGACTGTTTGGGGACAAAAACTGAAGCCTGCATTTACTGCAAAAAAACCTTGCTCTTGAAGAGCCTGATTCCATGTGGTCAGAAGCAACAGGAGAATTCCGTTCTACTCATCGTTACTAGAGATGGAGTTTGCTTGAGTCATTACCATCCCTTCAAGTTATCTATAACCTCATTAGCTTTAAATAAATAATTTATTTGAGAGACAGAAAGACGGCTCCTATCACTGGTTCACTCCTCAACTATCAGCAATGGTAGGGGCTTGGCCTGGGTCCAAACCAGGAACCGAGAACTCCCAGACTCCCACATGGTGGTAAGAACCCAGTGATTTGAGCCATCACCACTACCTCCTCAGATCTGCATTAGCAGGTAGCTGGAATCAAGAGCCATTGCTAGGGGCTGGGACTAAAACCTGGGCATCCTAAACTGGAGTCTGAACTAGTTGGGTGAACACCTGCTTTCCCTCTCCCATTCACTTTCTAGTGTATGCTCCCGATAGATCAGAGGGATTGAGATGAAAGAAGTGAAAATATCAAACTGTCCATTTAGTTCCAGTATCCCTACAGTTGCTGTTGACACAGAGCTACTCTCTGATTTCCAGTAACTAATATATAGTAAAAAGAACCCATAATGCATATAAGTGAGAATGACATTTTGAGATTTGATTACTGCTTTTAAAAAATATTAATTTATTTTAGAGAGAAGGAGAAACAGAAAAAGAGGCTTTCCACCCACTAGATCATTTCCCAAATGGCCACAAAAGCCAGAGCTGATCTGATCTGGAGTTGAGAGCCAGGAGATTCTCCTGGGTCTCCCATGTGAGCACAGATGCCCAAGGCTTTGTGCTGTCCTCTACTGCTTTACCAGGCTATTAGCAGTGAGCCTGATGGCAAGAGGAGCAACTGGGGCACAAACTGGTGCCCATACAACATCTAGGGTGCTAGAAGTTGGAGGATTAGCCTGTTGACTCACTGTGCCAGACTCAGAATTCATTTCCTTAAAACTTCATATATGAAACACACGAAATTTGTCCCTTTATGTAAAAAAAAAAAAACAGCAGCTTAACATCAAGTTTTCCTCTTCTAAGCATTTAGAATAAAAAGCAGCCAAAACCTTAAAAATAAATGTACACAAAACTAAAATAACATAATGGGGTATCAGAGCAAACACATATCGAATAAGGCTGACCTTTACCGCCACACTTTGTGTTATCCTACATTTGAATCCACAAGATGCTTACAAACCACCTCATATCATCTTCATCTCATACTGTGGGAATCTCAAGCTAAACCACCAGTGCAGGGTCACTCAGCTGGTTAACCAGCAGAACTACTCAAATCCCAGGTGGCTGGCTCCATGGCCCCATGCTTAACAATGAGACAACATATGCTTAACACAGAAATACAGAAAGGTGAAGGAGGGTATAGAAATTCAGTGGAAAAGGTAAGATATAAACATCTCAGAGAATAAGAAAAATACAGGGGGTGTGGAATAAAAGGAGGCTTTTTAGCAGGAATGATGAGTTGGAAAGGTTTGAGAAGCATTTTTAATCTTTTCTTACGCTGAAGGTTCTACCTACTATATCCACTTTTGGTCCATTTTCCTTCCATAATATGGTGATAATAGCACTCGTCTGACAACTGTGTTTGTACAGATGAAATGAGCCAAAAATTTACACCACACTTAGATCACTTTGTTAGCTTTGATTATTGTGATTTGTTTCTGTGAAATCCCATTACAGTTTATATTTTGCAATGCAACCTAAAGGAGCCTCTCTCAAACTTGAGTGAGCATCAGAATTATCTAAAGGGTTAGTAGAAATAGACTGGAGGGCTGCAACCCCAGGGTTTCTGATTTAATAGGTCTGGGAGGGGGGAGCCTGGTGGGTCTGTGAATTTGCATTTCTCACAGGTTCTCAGGTGGTGAGGATAACGCTGATCCTGGGACCACACTTTGAAAACCACCAGTCAAATGAGTTGCTTAATTTATCTGACTGGGAAGCAGATTTAGAAGCAAATGGAAATTTAAAGTACCTCTGCTTTACAGTCAATTACACTCACTCATATACACACTCACTCGTGAGAAAACAAATGGATTGTCTAGCCTAACAGTTAAAGGAGGTCCACTTGCAGAGTGCAGAGAAATCACACAACTTTGGGGAACACTGGCTTAAACTACAGTGAGATGGCAAATCTTACCCTTGCTCTACATCCAACAAGAGATGACACAGATGCCCAGAGTCGTAACATGACCAGTTCCGTGCTACCCACTGGACAGTGTCAAGGCCATGGTCTCTGCTAGACATAGTGGTTACTGGTAGCCTATTCAAAGGCAATGGATCACAGTCTCCAACAGAGGTGGAGTCCATGTTGGAGTGTCTTTGATGGTGCTAGACGCTCACAAATACGAAGGATTCATTGGGAAAGCAGGAAGGTCTTCCAATTTGCTCACTATACATACCTGAGTACTTTGAAACATTCATAGAAAATGGAATTATAATTCACTTTACATTTACAGATTTACAACATTTTTTGAAATCCATGCATAGTTTTTGGGTGATGTGTATTTTCCGTGGACTTCTGAAAAGTCCTCATAGTCTACACTTGGAGAATGGAATTTTATAATCTGCAGGTTATCAGCCTCAGTAAACAATTACCACATAGAAAGATGCCCCTCCTCCAGGCAGCCCTCCATTCTATATAATTGTTAGACAAGGAGGGGTGCAGGTCAACAGGGGTGTGATTTCTCAGCTTTTCTGTCCAAGTTCACAACTCAATGTTAACAGATAGACATTATTACTGCTGTGCTGTATCCTGCGTTGATTAAACAGCTCCCTCTGGATCCACTCCAAAGTGGGCTTTTAATACAAGATCCTGCCCCATTCCAAACCACAAGAGGAGCAGTCCTCGGAAACAGAATTATGCTAATAGAGGAAAAAGTGAAGTTGGGCATCTGAGTTCCCCTCTTTCTGGTCTCTTTCTTTTAAAGCCATTCCAGGTCTCGTGAAATAGAGGAAACTAAACCTGCAGTCGAATGAAGTATACTGTGGAGGAAGAGCTGTGTATTTCGAGGTATTTTGGTGTAGCAAGTGTTTGGGGTCTATAAAAAGATAGGGTTTATGCAACAATTAATGCTACCCAAAGAGAGCTCTGTGTCTTGCTAGATCCCTTGCTAGATCCCTGCAATGTCCCGCCCGACATGAGTATCTTTGAGCCACATTGTAGCAGTTCCTATGCATGAAGGAAGAGGAGACCAAAGACATTGGTCTGCCTGCCCCCTCAACCTTCAAAATAGGGGTTGCAAACTAAAGATGGCTCTTGAGGGCAGTGTGATGTTGAGCTCCATACAACCTCTGGCTGCCAAAGCTTCAGGGAAGCTTCCGGAGCATACTGTAACACAACATGGCCAGGAGGAGGTAATGCTGCCTGAGACCCACAGGGAGATGAAGACTGGCAGCTCTGTGTTTAGTGCCCTTTGCACCCCTGCCCCTGAGCTGGTCCTAAGTTCTGTGGGCCCTTCGCACTCAATGCTGATGCCTCAAATTTGCAGCCAGATGGTCTGGAGGGAGGATGGCAATAGCATCCCTTCTAGACTTCGGTTCAGTTTGGCTATATTGCAGAGCGATGGTGAAACAGTTTTAAAAGGTAACAGGCAGGTATGATTCATGTCAGGGAAGTCTATGAAATTGGTCATGTTTGGAAACAGTGAACCGAAAGAAGACTCTCCTGAATGGGAGACAAATTTTGACAAAAAAAAAATAGACCCATTTGAAAGATAAACTTCACACCCACTGAGAATCTGGGAATCTGGATAGAGTGGCCTTAGGCACCTTACTTCACACCTTAGTCAAACAGATCAAAATATAAAAGTCATGATACATGTAAGAAGCACTTGAATTCCACCACACTTGAGTGAAAAAAAAAAAAGTCTTAACCACTTCAGAAAAATCTGTACCTGCTACAAACTGAGTTATCTTGCTGTTGCCAGTACTTTGTTCACACTCCCCTCTTCTAATTAAAGATATGTCCCTGAATTTTTAAATGTCCCATATTTATATAAAAACGTCAACCTGATGTGCAAATCATCGTTGCTATATTGAGTCTGTTTTCTGTGCATGTTCCCAAGCAGGGACATTTGGCTCTCCCAAATTAGGGTGCCTATGAAAAGTAATTCGCACATTTCCATTTCTCTCCCCAAATTCCTGCTGGGCTCCCAATGTGCCTGATTTGTCTGTCCTTTAGGCCCCAAGTCACCGCTATAACATTGTACAATGGGGGGTGGTGATGAATGAGTGTGTGTGTGTGTATGTGAGTCTCCCTGAAGGTTCCAGGGTCTTGGGAGTTTTCTCAGGGACGTGTTTCTGAAGCGTAATCTCCAGAGTAAGCCGCTCTGAGTGTGTTAGGTCAGCGGAGGGAATTTGGGTGGACATTTTGAGGAACCTCTCTCGTGTAGGGACTGCTCCTCAAGTGAGGCGAAGCTGCTTAGCCTCGCTCGACAGTGTGGAAGCTGGGAAGGGCCGGACGAGGCCCGTCTCCCCCACCTGGATTAAGATGGTTCCGATGGGATCGTAGTTTTCAGTCTCCTGTGCCATGGCGAGGACGGGGAGGGAGACCTGCCCGCGAAGGCGCAGCCTCCAGGCGCGAAAACCTGAGGCAAAGCTCTCATCCCCACGGCAACACCGCGCGCCAGCCTGATCTACTCTGGCAGCGGAAGCAGGGGGATGAGGGTCGGGTTGGACCTATTGCTTGGTTCCGAGAACTAGGTCCTCCGAACGTGCTTCCCCCCTCCACGCCGGCCGCAGTGGTACAGCCCAAGGCGGAAGCGGCTCGGTGTCCCGGCACTCCAGAGCAGCTATGGCTGCCGGCATCCCCTGTGCGCTGGTGACCAGCTGCTCTTCCACTTTCAGCGGAGACCGGCTAGTCCAGCGTGAGTAGCGGGGCGCCTGGGTCGGCTTGCACGATTCCCGAGCCTCTGCGGGCGACCGACCTGGGAGCACGGCCTGCTGCTGGGCCCCGTGCCCCTCGCGCGGGCCGTGGACTGGGTCAGGTGCCCGGTGTTGCCAGGTGCTGGTCCCGGGCCTTTTCTATCTGCCCGGCCCACTCCGCGCTGCTTCCGGAGGGGCTTCATCTTAGCGCTCTTTGCGAGTCCCCTGAAGGCGCACTGCGAGCTGTGCGAGTGTCCGGTGCTGGCCTTGGGATGTTGTGAGGACTTGTTCCTCACAGAGCAGGTGGAACAGCCTAACTCCTTGCCTCGTCTGGTCCTTTGCCTTCCTCCCGGACCTTGCGCGATCCTCTTGGTGCCAGACCTAAGGCTTTGGCCTCTGGGCCCCACGCAGTGAGTGTCCAGCTAAAACAACCAGCGAGACCGCGTGGGGCCGGGTGGTCGCCCGACTGCATCACCCACGGGCTCCGGGAAGTTGGCTGATACGTAACTGCAGACTGGTCATCAGCGGTGACTCCCCGCTGCTGTGTGAGCGCAGGTCCCTCAGTTTTCTTTGGAAAATGATAATAGTTTTCCCAGGATGTTGCTCCAATCCAGAGACCTGCACGTAGTCAGCATTTGATAAATGATTCATCTTAGTCATTCCAACGCCTAGTTTCCTGGTCTTAAAATAGGCCATATACACCGGTTTTAGGATTTTTTTTTTTTAACTATAAAGCATCATGCACTTTTTTTTTAACCTCTCAAATACCAAAATTAGGTACTATGCATGCCTGATAGTCTCAATAATTTCTGGATTTTCATTTCCCAGTTGAGTGAGTCAAGAGACGTTATCTATCAGGGGTTCTTCAAAAAGTTCCATAAATTAATACTATAAGGAAATCATACAGGCATTTCAGAAACTTTGTTGCACCAAAATAAAATTCTTTTAATTCCATTTTGCATGAACTCCTTGAAGTCCCTTCTTCTTAGTTGTTGCTACCATACAGGATTAGCATTAGAAGGGGAGAACCACTTCAGATCATCTCAAACTTCCTTCTAGATGTAAAATCATACGTTGCTGTATTAGCTACCTGTATTTATGTTAGAGAATCCTTCACTTGAACCTGACATTCTATTTTTTTATATCAGCAAAGCTTTGCTGTAATATACATTTTTATGGAATATAATCAGTATTTTGACATATATCTGTGTTATAAACTGATCAAATCCAGCAGTTGGCATTTCCGTCTATCTTTTTGTGTTGAGGGCTGATAGGCTCTTGTCTTCCACTTCTTCATACAGTGTATAAACATTGTGGGCTGCAGTCACCGTCCTGAAGTGCTGTGCAGCACTAGAACCTGCTACCCGACCCTTTGCTGTTATCTCGCCTCCCTTCAGCCCCCTCCTCCCCACCTTTTTCAACATCTGATGCTCACTATTACAAGTTTAGTTAAACTTTTTAACTTCTGTGTGTGAAAAAGAGCATATGGCATTTGTCTTTCTAAGTTTGGTTTATTTTACTTGACATTTTGACCTCCATCCACTTCCATCCATTTTGCTGCAGTTGTCAGAATTTCATTCTTCTTATGGAAGATTTTGTGGTGTACATATTGTGAATAGTGCTACAGTGAACTTGGAGTGCAGGTAGTCTCTCTGATATAATAATCTCATTTTCTTCAGATAAATTCCCAGAAGTGGAATAGCTGGGTTATATAATAGATCTGTATTTAGATATTTAAGGTACTGCCATAGTGTTCTGTATAATGATTACTTTTTTTGCATTTCTACCAGCAGTGTGTAAGCATTCTTGTGGTTTTTTTTTTTTTTTGCCTTGTTGAACTTGGTAATTTTTGTTCTTTCAGAATTTGGAGTATATCATATTCCATTTCCTCCTGGCTTATAAGATTTTTTTTTGCTGAAGAATCTAGGAACCTCTTAGGGACTCCTTTGAACGTCACTTGACACTTTTGTAAGGTTTAAAATTCTCTTTTTGTGTTGCACAGTTGAGGGGTTGACCATGAAGTGTCACTGTGGCTATCTTGCCTGGTTGTGTCTATTTGGGGTCCTGTGGGCATCGCGTAATTGGATGTCACTGTCTCTTTGTAGAGTAAGGCAGCTTTGACTTATTACTTCATTGAATGGGTGCTCTATGTCTTTATTCTTCTCTTCCTACTCAGGGAGCCCCACAGTGAGTGCCTGTTTGTGTAATGATGTTGTTAAAGGTCTCAGAGGCTTTCTGCCCAAGTTTTTCTCTTTTCTCCCTCCCATCCTCCCTCCCTCTTGTCCACTGTTCTTCTCTACCCTTCCCTACTTCCCCCAACCTTCCTCCCCAACTTCTTCCTCTTTCTAGGTGGAGTGTTTTTGAAAGGCCTGTCTTCAAATTCGCATAGTCCTTTTACTGATTGGTTTGTTTTGTTCTTGAAGCTTTCAACTGTATTTTTTTTTTTATTTGACTCACTAAGTTATTTATTTCCAAGGTTTCTGTTTGGTTCCTTTTATCTCTTTTTTGCTGGATTTCTCATTCATGAGTACCCTGTGTTGCTTCCCTAATTTTAATCTATATTCTGTTTTATCTCCTGAGCACCCTTGTAATTATTCCTGGCATTTTGTTGGCCTCCTAGTGTTGGATTTTGCCAGCCTCAGATGAGTTCCAAGGTGCAGTTCTGTACTTGTTCTGGTACAGTGCTTCCTAGAGGCTGAAGTTGTGCTTCAGTATTAGAGAAGACTGGTGGAGGCTGACACTTAGCTGTGTTGCACCTGTGTCACAGCCACAGGCCTCTGTGCTGTACTGTGGATGCACACCACACTCATATGAGGCTGGGGTGATGTAGGTCAAAACCCAGCTCCCTCCTGTGAGGGTGCAGATCTCCACCTGACATCAGGGCAGGTCTAGAGACTATCTGATAGGGATGGCAAACTGGGGGCTCTGCCTGGTGTTGGTTCTCTATTGTGGTTGGACTAACACTGAGCTACCAGGTGTAATGCTGAGCTCAGTTTCCTGTCCTACTCCACGATGGCTCAGTTCTTTTTTTAAAGATTTATTTTATTTTTATTATAAAGTCAGATATACAGAGAGGAGGGGAGGTAGAGAGGAAGATCTTTTGTCTGATGATTCACTCCCCAAGTGAGCTCAACGGCCGGTGCTGTGCCGATCCAAAGCCAGGAGCCAGGAACCTCCTCCAGGTCTCCCACACGGGTGCAGGATCCCAAAGCATTGGGCCGTCCTCTGCTGCTTTCCCAGGCCACAAGCAGGGAGCTGGATGGAAAGTGAAGCTGTGGGATTAGAACTGGTGCCCATATGGCTTCCCGGTGTGTTCAAGGCGAGGACCTTAGCCACCAGGACATGCCACCGGGCCCGTGGCTCAGTTCTTATTCTTTCCCATCTGTGAGGTACAAGGAGGAGGAATTGTGGAGGCAATCCCTTAATGCTCAGCTGAATCACAGCTGGATCTCACAGTGCATGGAGTCCATGCCATCTTGGGGGTGTTTGCAAAGCCTGCACAAACCTAGTGTTAGTCCAGTATACAATGAGTTCATCCCACCGAGGCTCCTTCTGGCAGATCTAGACGCACAGTCGGTGAGCCCTGGCCTGGGATAGAGACCTTTGGGCTTTATCTGGTGCTGGACTCAACACAGAGGAGTGATCTCAAACTTCCATGAACATCCTGAGTTCACATCCCCCCACTTCCACAGTGGCTGAGTTTTGTGTTGCTATCTGCTGGAGGCTGAGAGACCAGTGGCAGAAGTGATCTGTCCCTTGGCTGCCTGGCTAGAGGAATCAAAGGCTCAGTCCGCAGGTATGGCTGGAGAGCAGGGACCCATCTGACACCAGGTTTCTCTATAGCAAGCCTGGTACTGCATTTCAAGTCTGGAGTCTAGCCTTAATTTTCTATCTCTCCCCCAGCTGGGAGGTGAAGTGTTTCTGTAGGTGGCCTTGTTGCTTGGAGAAGGGCCAGTGGTGACGCAGGCAACTCAACTCATCCTGCAGTCTCCAGCGCATCTTCTGTTGCATTGGACTGGGCACTGTGGTCTCCCACCTGGCTTCCTTTGTTCTTGTGAAAGTGGCATAGTTTGTGATTGGCTGTCCAAGTTAGTGTGTTGGGGAGATGATCACTGGAGAGTACCTGTCCAAGTCTCAAGTCTGGCATTCTCAAGTTCATTGTTGAAAACTGAGTAAATCAAGCTTTATGGTAAAGTTTCCGTAATCTTGCTTGGCTTACACAATAGAGATGTAGCTTTTTGTGTTTGGAATTCAGGTGCATGTGCCCACAGGCACACTCGGTCCTCTGGTCCCCAGGCTTCTGGAACTGCAGAACCAAAAGCTCAGTCACAGGATGGTCAACAGGCTCTGGGGTATCGTGCTGGCAAAGCCAGCCAGCCCATGGAACATTGCTGCTGCAGGCTGTCAGTGTCCTGCCCTTAGACAAGGCCTCTCCTGGGGAGGGGATTGTTATCTGAAAGGAAATGGCTCTTGTGCAGCTTGCCCCACAGTGTCTAGCAACAGGACAGGAATAAGAGCTTGAGTCTTCTTATGTGTATTTTTTCTGCAGCTTGTTGAGATATTCTGAGTGGAGCGTTTTGGTTTACCCTAGGAAGAAGTCATAATTTTTACTTAAGCCTAAGTTGCTATTTTGTCTGTGGTAGAAAAACTCTGCCTTTGACTGGATTGTATATTTCCCAGGCTTTATTCAAAGGATGGAAAAAAGATCTGGCCAGCAAGGGGTCTTCCACAGGGGTCTAAAGTTGTCATCACAGAGTGACTCCGATTTAGTGGTTTCTGTTGGTGATGGGGGTGAGGAGAACTTTGATTTTTGCTGTGATACTTTATTTTTAAATTTTCAGTTAACATTTCAAATGAGCATAAGATTTTTGTGTTTATTTTAGAGGAACATTGAGAAGGGGGAAAACTTCAATCCAGGGTCATAGTAGCCTGTGCAAATCCAAAAGGACTTAAAGAGTATGTTTACAATATGTTCCTCTGTGTGTGTGTACGTGTAATGTGT